TATTCCTTAATCTAGACACGGGCTACGGTATGTTTTACATATCAACCACATACAACTTTGATTGTCATAATTGTGTTTTATAAATCACGAGGCATTATAGTAATTTATACATATAACGACATATTAACTTAGATTATACTTTTAATTAACTTAAAATTAAATTCCACCTATGGTCCGGTAATCATATCTGATAGGTGTGACACCTCGCCTAGGTGGTGGCGACCCTTGCTACTCTAACTAGTCGTTATGCAAGTGGCAAACCACGTTGTTGTTACAGGCCGAATTACTAATATAAAAGCCCGCTTGCAATATAATTAAATCACAAGTTTTTCTGATCAGTGAAATGCTTTTATTTTAGCTTCGATGCGAAGCTGATTTTTAAAACTATATTATAAACTTTTTATCTATTATGTTGAAATGGTTTAAAAATTTTGTAAAAAGTGAATCAACAAAACAACATTTCAGTAAACAAAAATAGATTAATAAAGTGGTAAAAACTAATCTGATAACAACTAGTACTATTAGCGGTAGACACTTGTTTCATGTAAATAAATATAGTTTAAAAAACTAAAAAAACACGCTTTTAAAGTACATCGAACTAAAAAGTTAAAAATAATTTTTANATGTCAGTTTTGCACTGATGACTTTGTAGCAAGAAACTCCGTTTATTATATGACGATTTTATTAACAAGGACTGCTCACGTGAGCACTTTATAGCAAGAATATGCGTATCAAACCTGCTAGACTTCAAAAATAGTGAAAAATAAATTTTAATAAAAGTGATGACCTTATAGCAAGAGCCCATTCATATATTAATTGGGTATTTTATTTGCACATTTTGTACAAAAAAGAGAGTTTTAGAGAATTTTTAAATATTTATTAATTGTTTAAATTTATATTATTTATCGAGATAATTAATTTTTATACACATTATTGATCATGGTTACAGTTTAAAAAGATTATATTTTATACATTATTTTATTTAATTTTAGCTTCGATGCGAAGCTGAGAAAGTATTAATTTTACTATAATGTGTTTTTTTTTTATTATTATTTTTTTTTGTTTGTGAAAGCTCAATCTCAGCTCTCGCTGGACCGATTTTGATGAACAATATGTCAAAAGATCACAAATCGTATATAGTCGAAGACATTACCCCCAAAACATTACAAATTTAAAAATAGCTAATTTTCGACATTTCTTCAATTTTTAGCTTCGATGCGAAGCTGAGAAGGTATTAATTTTACCATGATGTGTTTATTTTTTTTTTTTTGTGTCTGTCACTACTTTTTCTCAGCTCTCACTGGACCGATTTCTTTTAACAATACGTCAAAAGATCACAAATTGTATCTAGTTGAAGACATTACCCTTAAAAATTTAAAAATTTTCCCTCGTTCCCCGCAAATGGGGGAAATATCCAAAAAAATTACAAATTTAAAAATCGACAAATTTTGTCATTTTTTTCACTTTTTTT